AAATGCAATTATATTTACTACACGTGAACTGTAAAACGCAGGCAGCGATTATATACAGAGAAAAATTATGCACTGCTTGCTGAGACACACCACATGCCTCATGTTTACATCCTGTATGTTTGCTAGCTTTAATTATTACAGACAGGAGCTCTTTAGTTCACTCAAAGAAGAGCTTTCTTTATACATTTGTACCATCAGCCAAATTCACTGGTAGTCCAAATGACAGCTTTTCTATAAGAAATTATTTGACAAACTTGAACAAAAGCATTGAAGGAAGAATTGTAAAATAATTCAACAGTAAAGGTCTCACTAACTCCAATAAAACTTGCATTTTACTATTTTTATGCAAGAATTTTCATTTTCTATTAGTGGAAAAACCTGGTAGGCACACTTAAATAGCAGACACATAGCACTTTCCACTACAAAGACTTTCACAACTTTTTTGAGAAGCTCTGACACTTGCCTAGTCTGCAGGCAGCCTTTGAAGTTCCCTGGAACAGCAGAGATGCTCTTTGTCTCACAGCAATCCATTCAAGTTAAACTGAACTGTTTTCCTATGCCTGCTTGCTTTTTAAATCAAGTATCAAAAAATACTTTGGCCTCTCAAAAGCCACAAAGGGCTGGGCACCTGGTGCCTCTGACAGAACAGGTGAGTGCGCTGTGAGCACTGGGAGGCTGCTGAGGCTGAAAAGCGGAGGCAGGACACAGACCTCTGACAGAACAGAGGCGAGTGCGAGTGAGCACTGGGAGGCTGCTGAGGCTGAAAAGCGGAGGCAGGACAGAGCAGGATGAAACAGGCCGGACTTCACCTGCTGTTCCCCCACACGAAGCACAGAACCCAAAGGTCCTGTTTGGGTTCATCCAGTAACAACCTCACCAAATAGGGCAATTACCCAAATTAGAAATCACCACTGAAGGCTCTAATCCCATTTAGGGATTTTTTAAAGTCAACAAGGGAAGTTTATACCTCCATGTAGTGTAATTTTACAAAATAAAACCCAAGCTAAACAAACACACAAAAGGGGCTATGCCTTCCAATACCAAGACGTTCCATGTTAGAAACTAATTTGCAAGGTTATTTGGGCTGAAAGTAAAGCTCCTGAAAATCTGGAAGCACCACGTTTAGAACAGCCTATTACTTTAGCTCCATTTGCATTAATCCTCCTCTCAACTATTAAAATCACATACTACTGTTCCTGCAAATCACTGCCTCGTTCAGTGAGCAGGGTGGCTCGTAACAGAACTGTGTCTGCACAACCCTAAATCAGCTATTTGCTAACTTACAGTCTAACTCTGCAACCAACGGATTTGAACACTCATTTTCAAAGGTAGATTCATTTGTGTGTAATGCTATAGGCACACATGGTGCTTTACAGATGCAAGGAAAGATACAAAAATTGCCCCAAAGAAATTTTGGTTAAAACACATCAAAGCAACACTGAACTTTAGAACATGATAAAGTGCACGTAAGACAGACGAATAAACCAAGAAATAAGCTGATGTTGCAATTTATAATGCTTAGTTGATAAACATTATTAACAAGTACTGTTAGAAAACCTCCACTGCTACTTGAATTTACAGGGCTTGACTTCACTCTGTTCATGCAAACCCAGTGATTTCAATGGGATCACACGGAGACAGCAGGTTTCACTGGGACCTTATATGTAAATTAAGAATTAAACCTAATACATCAACTTGTCACACCAAATCCTAAGCCCAGCAAATGGGTGGGCTGAAATATGACACACTGAGGTAACCCTGCTGCTGCCCACAACACACCAGCTATGAATTTGGAGGAAAAAAGGTTTCAATTCACCTTGGACAGAAACCTCTAGAGCCAAAGAATGAACAATGGCAAAGTTCTACCCCAGAGCAGTAAGAAGCCAACCTTTTACTATTTTTTTTTAATTCTTTTTATCTTGAAAATGGCATTTCATCAAGCATGCTCATATCCACCTGCACTACATAAATACTCCCAAAAGTTCAGAAATTTTTTCCAAATCAAAAAATCCGAAACTCTCCATTTTCCAACACCGCTGATTCCAAACTTATCCTCGCATTACTGAACCTAACAAGAGTGTAGCAAATACCCTACAGCAGCACACAGTACCACTCTAGAACCAGTGAGGAGAGGAAAAGGAGGACTCAAACCTCAGTCCTCCTCTCATATACCAATTAGCAACATAGATTCTTCAAATGGCACTTATTGGACACTTTAGATGTTAACACATGTGGCAGAAAGGACTCCAGCTCAGCCTCCTATATCAATATTGGTTCTGCAGTGCTCATAGGGATAAAGTATGTTTTCTGTTAGTTAATCCCATTGTCCAGGAAGCAGTTTAGCTGAGCACCACTGTAACTGAAGTAATACCCCATTTCCTGCCCTGAGAAAAGATGCAGTTTTGTCCTGCATAACACAATTCAATTAATTCTTGTGCTATTGCCAAGTAATACAACTAATTTAAACAAATACTGACGATGCAGGTAAATTTTAGTCATGTCAGGATCTCGCGGGGCAGTGCAGTTTCTCCTCCTAATCACGTGCAGTAACACGGAAACCACGCGCTCCGTCTTGCTGGGGATTTTGCTAGTTCTGTCCCGCCGCGCTAAAAGTAATCTGTGATGCAACATCACTGCAGCGTCAGACTCCGCAGTGGAGACGCCACCAGAGACAAACAGCAAGCTGCCAGGTAGCCAGCTTTGGGGGAGTCACCACTGAACCCACGTTGGTGTGACAGCACTACGGCTCTGGGGGCCAGGAGAGGCAAAGCAAAATGAGCTCTTGTACGGGGCACCTTCAGAGCTGTAATCACACGTGCATCCAACCAACCTTTGGGAACAGGCACAGCCAGAGGGCAGACAGCTACACTGTTATGTTCTGCATTTATGCTGTCAGTCAAGATCTGAAAATACTTCAGCTGAGTAGCAGGCTTGCACTGGTACTCGCACTGCAAGCATACATAGCACACATCTTCATTTTCTTACTGGCCTTTTCATAAACCTGTGCGAGTTCAGATCTTTATCTCACCTACTACTCCAGTTTTTTGGCTGAAATAGGAGATGTGTACTCTTGCTTAGTGTCCTTGGCATTCACTGCTGTCTTTAGCATAATGACTACCCCATAACCACATCTAAACTTGTGAGCATCTACCACCTCTTTTCACCCTTCAGGCAGAAACAGCATCTTGCCCTAAGGAATTGTGCAATGCGTAGCATCAGGACAGAGCTGCAAAAACTCCACTTTGTTCAGAAACACAGGGCAATGAGTAAGATGAATGCACGCACGCATCGCTTCGGAAATGGGCTCCGCGCTCACACCGTCCCCTCTGACTGTGGGCACACTCTTCCCAGCATTTAGGAACCACAACACGTTTGAAGCAGCACACACTTGCTTCTTATTCTGCATCCTCTGTAAGTGAGAAGTATTCCTCCCCTCCTCTGCACAGAGTATTCTGCCTCGCAAGACATTGTTCACAGCATCGAGACACACATTTTACCACACAAGATACCTGGTGCTAAGTGCAGTATCTCCTTGCAAAGCACCTATAAGCTACCACTGTACAGTCTAATTTATAACCCCCACCTAACGTGCCTGTGGCAGCAATAACCCTTTTACAAGTGTCCTGCAGGAACTCGCAGCATCTTCACACGAGCTATCAAAAAATTATTATCAGCATTGTTTCCTCTAATCCACACTTGGTTAGTAATGTCATTACAGCACGTTAAAAGTACAGAGGCTGCTTTACCCCTCTTTGTACAAATTCCAGTAATAAGTGTTGCAAAAATAGCAGGATTCCTAAGAGTCACATAGCAAAGCAGCAGTTTCTGACTGCGTGTCTGTGAGAGTGCCCTGCGTTCAGACAAATGAGCCTTCTCTGCCGATTGCATTCACAGCTGTAAATACCCCTACTCCATCACTCATTTTATTCTCTTACACATACAGTCTTCTGCAGCTGTTACAACTGCTGTCAGGTGCATGCTCTAATACAGAGCTTGTAGATCGGTTTGCTCTTAAACTGTCATGTAAGAAACAAGAAATTTTGGAGACACACTTAGCATAACCTTTTCCTAACTTCAGTATACTAACAAGCTCTGAAACCATGCATGTTCACACACTACTATTTTTAAGAAAAGTTACTGGGATGTGCTGTCCCGTTGCAGCTCATCAGTCCCCACAATTTAGATTTCACCTCTACAAGTCTAACAAAAAAGGCCTATTAAATTTATTATATTTTATGGAAGGCAAACCGAAAATTCCCTAGTAAAGAGCACTCTAAATGGATTTCGACTCCAGAAAAGAAACTACTATTGCTTTTCTCGTAGGGGCAAGCAATGGTGCTACTCCAGGACAGGGGGTTTCCAAGGAGCAATGCAGCGCCTTACAGACACAGAGTATTCTTGCGTGAAGACACGGCTGAGGCACCGCCGTTGGGTGGGTTTGCACACACAGACAATAAAAGCAACTTTCACGCTTAGGCATTACCGGGGCTGTTCGCATTCCGGATTCGCACATCCGAACTTGTCCAGCCGGGCCCGTCCGGAGGCGCGCGGGCCGCGCCGAGGAGCGGTGCCGGGGAGCCGCGATGCGTGAGGCGCCCCGTGAGGCGCCGCTCGGCGCCCAGAGCCCCCGGCCCCCGCCGGAACGCCGCTCCCGCCGCGGCACCGCGGCCCCGCAATCCAGGCGGGCCGCCCCGCCCGACCCCGGGGACGGCGGGGCGCGCGGCGGCCCCGGGAGGCGGAGGGACCGGCATCCCCGAGCCGCGCACGGCCACGATGGGGCACAGCACGGACCCGCTGCCCGCGCTGGTGCACGGTACGGTCCCGCGGCTCGGGCACGGCCGAGACCCGCTGCCCGCGCCGGGGCACGGCACAGACCGGGGCTCCCCGCTCGCACCTCCGTCCCCGAGGCTCCCCGCACGTACCTGCTGCCCGCGGCACTCGCGCCGCCGGCGGCCGCGCGGGGAGGAACCCGGGGACCGCCCGCGCGCGATCCCGCGCGGGCCCGGCCCGGCCCGGCCCTGCGGCAGCGCCGCCCGCCCCGCTCCGGCCCGGCCCTGGAGGCCGGCGTTACATAACGGCGCCGGAGCCGGCAGCTGCGGGACTACGCCGGGCGGATTAGGGATTACGTTGGTTCAGCAGATTGTCCTGTGCACGTCTGAGAAAGATTACACCAGCGCAGTTAAGAATACCCGTTTGCTGTGGTAAGCCGTGGTTTAAGTAGAACAAATTAACTCAATACAAAATTAAATGCACAAAAAAAGGGGAAAAAACGAAGTAAAACACCCCAAGGTTAAGAACTTCTTTAGTGCTTTATTTTAAGGTGCTTTAAGTGGAGAAAATGAGAGACTGAAATTCAGGTTTTGACAATTATCCCTCCTGTGTTTTGGAACAGCTGCTGGTAGCAGCGAGCAGCTCTTAGTGCTGGATGAATCCTAAAAAACCAAAATCATTATTACAAAGACCAGTTACACTGGATTCCTGATACTGACATGTAAAGTAAATATCTAAACTCTTATGACACGAGTTCTGATTGCTGGATCTGAGATTATTGACATTTGAGAGCTGACATTATGAGGGACACTACATCTGCCACTGAGGTAGGAATAAAAATTAACCATGCAGCGACAAACTTTAAATTGCATTCATTTCAGATGATTTCTTACAAGACTTAGGGATGCAACTTGGAAGCAAAAGTGGCACGGAAGAAATCAGTAAGCACACAGGATGATAGAATAGTGGTGGGGGTTGTGTTCCAGGACTGATAGTGATTTTTTTGAATGCAAGGGTCTTGCAGGATTTAATAATTCCCCTCACATAAGAACACACAAGCTTGAAACTGGAATCTCTACCTCAAAATTAAAAATCTGTGGTATGACTACAGTAGTTACATTGGACAGAAGCCTCAGCTTTGGAGCTTTGCCAATGTCTGTATGAATATCTCATACAATAGAATTGGGCTTTCAGATGGAAATCTGCAGTTGTTTGCAAGTTGTTTAGGAAAGTTTTCCCTGAAATTCACTGTAATGTCTCAAATTCCAATTTCAACACCATGACGAGAGCTTTACCCCCTGTTTTAGTATAGAATTAATCCTAAGCATACTTTAGTGGATAAAAATGAGAATGTAAACCTAAATTTTTGCTGTAGAGATTTCTAAGATAAGAGGACTCAGCCATTTGTTGTCATTTCAGAAAACTGCAATGGAAGGAATTTTGAAGAACTGTTTCCAAAACAATTACCCTGTCAACCAAAGCACACTGAGATTTGTGATCTGTTTGTCATCTGCTTTAGTTTCCTGTCTTTTGTCAGAATTTCCTGATATTGTGGTTATCCCATCCTAAAAGAAACTTCCAGTGTATAAATTTGAGTAAAACATTGTTCTTGTATAGATTTGTTATAAGATCTCACCTGTAATTCTTCCTTGTAGAGATCCTCATTTGTTTTGATGCCTTAGGTTTTAGCTTTTATATTTTTCAGGTTCTATACTGCTTTAGTGTGTAGTTCTGATCTTGATACTAAGGGATGGTGAGCTCTCTTCACAGGTAGGGAGACAAAAGAATTCCTTTCCTAGCTTGAGACCAAGGACAACCAATCCAAATTTCAGGCCCAAGAGCATAAACAATGTGGAGTGAAGAGAGAAAAAACGAGAAGGATGGGCCTTCATAACTTAAAGCTGTACCTGGACAATTAACTCCAATATGCAAATGGAGCAGAACTTATAAATGCAGAGACCTCATGACCAATTGTCCATTTTGGTTCATCTTGGCAGTAGCCCTGGCTGGGCTCTTGTACTGCCCAAGCTGGAGCTGTTAAGGTCTTTTAATAAATCCCTTTCTCTCCATCCAGCCTCTGTTCCAGGCCAGCCTTCACAAGGCATCAGTTTCAGGCAGTTTGATGGATTTTTGCTGATGCCTGATGATTTTCTGTGCTCAGATCAGTTCTGAGCTTCAGACACTGAAGGTAAGAGAAGTTATACCTAGGTGAGAAAAAGCAGACTCCTTTTAACAAGACTTCAGGACAGTTCCTGGCTCTTGGAGAAAGTATGAGGTGTAGACTACTGACTGCTTGACAGGTATCAAGGACATCTCAGAAGGAAATTTATATTTAATCAGCATAATAAGCAATTTTTTTAAAAAATTTCCTCTTCATTGTTTTCATGACCAAATATTTGAGCTCAATATTGGGGCAGAATGAGATTTTACCTTTTTTGATTTTTAGAAAGAATATATAATGCAGTAAAATCCCATTCTCAAAGACAGCTGTAAGGTGCAACTTAATCTAAATGTACAAACAATGTATATTTGAAATAGCCACATGACTGAAACGATCTTCTTTAATTTGGGGAAGCGTTTATGTAGAGATTAATTTTAAGAATGTTTGAATAGCAAAGATCCATAAACCAAAGCCCAAATCATTATTCAGTGCTTGCTTTTTATCTGCCTGTGCTTACTAAGACTTACAGGTACTGTGGATGCTGAGGCCAGCTAACCAGTAAAAGTACAGAAAACCAAGAGGCAATACAGATTCTGATTTAAATTGATGGGGAGTAAAGCACACAGGTTCATTTAAAGACAAATCTAACTGGTTCCAAAATATCTCAGTATACACAGGTGACCTAACTTTCATGTATAAGCATTTCAAACAATGCATTACTATTCTTAATATCAGTTTAGATGACAAAGATGAGGGGAAAAGGGTAGAACATAAGATTTTTCAACAAGCTGGCACAGAGCAAAACAGGCTATGTTTTAAATTTCAGTTTAAAATATTCTTAACTGGATATACAAAGTAACATTTCACAAACTCCCAAGATACATGGAAGATAAAAATTTGAGCATTCATGCAACTGGATTTTTAGTTTCTGTGAGCATAGGCTGTATCTGCATGTAGAGGAAAACTCAGTTTGGAAAGTGCCAGAAGGGTGCACAGATGATCTTTGTGTTTCTAGTATGAACTCAATGCACACACAGGCGTGAGTTACAATCAAATTTAGCAACAATTTCTGCTGTAGTGATTCCTTTGCTTTAAATATATCATCTTATTATCTAATGAGATAGTCCAGTTTATTCTTTTTAGAACACTGATACATACTTGAACTTCTGTTCAGAATGCAACACCTCAGAGAAAAACATCTAAGTACATGATTACCTAATTATGTACTTTTCAGTCTTAAAAACAAAAAAGTTAAAGCTGTGAATGCTGTCAGCAACACCTCTTTAAAAAAACCATCTTTAGACCCATATTGTGATATTATCAGAACTTAAAAAATAAAGTTATGCTTTCACATTGGCGAGGAAGTATTTTCACTCCCTCCCTTTGTCACCCCCTATTTCCTTGAATACACAGGCAACAAAGTTTGAAAATAAATGATTAGTCGTCCCACAGCCTTCCTCAAACTGCCTTGCTCTCTACACTCATCTCATAAACAATTTGTCTTACATGGAACAATTAGTACAAGTCCCAGCAGCTGATGAGTTGCATAGCACATCCCTTTAACACACTGATGCAGTAAAAAACCATCAGCTTCCCCTAAGGGATTTTCTGCCAGATCATTGGATTTTGGCATCTTCTGAAAAAGTTGAACTTAGACCAGGAGCAGCACCAGAGGTACATTCTGACAGTAAGATGAAGGAGAGGATACGCCAGATCTCCTTTTGGCAGTAGCAAAACTCAAGCTGTTTTGTCAATTCAAGGATTCATATCCTAATTAAATCTAGTACAGGAGCTAGGCATGAAATTTAGGTTATACCTCGTGTTTATATTTAATGAGAATTATTGGATATTATACAATTTTGTGGAGCTTTCTGTGAAAAGGGAAACTAAATGAACAAAGACTATTTGCTCCAATGAAACACAAATTTAAATCAGATTTTTGATGCCAGTGTAAAATATATGTATGATACCATTCATATGTACTACATTTTGTGAGTATTTTGAATTCAGCAATAAACTTGTAGTTTTTTTGGTAACCCTAGAAAAATGTGCAAATGATCCTGTGAGCATGACGGGGTGTTGCCCTGTTCTGTCCTTGGCCCCCGTACACGTGTCTGTCTTTGGGGTAACTTCACCCGCGCTGCACTGTGTGTAAACTGGAAACCTTTTTAACAGCACATGTAGAATCCAGAGCTTGACTGCCAGAAAAACCAATCTCCAGGATGATTTATTTCTTTTGAAAAGATTTGGGTTCTGAAGCGACCCCTGTTCATTTGTTTCTTCGTGCCACGTGCTGCGTTAATTGTTCTCGCTTCTGTTGGCAGAGCAAAGCGTAGCTGCGAGCCAGCTCGAGAGGGTGGGGACTTTGCTGGTAACAGCCCAGTGTCACTTTGTCTTCTATGGACAGGACAGTGAAAAAGCTAGAGAAGCAACGTGAGGTCCCATGAAAACCAGAAGCATCTACTTATAAAGTAAGTACAAATGCATTACACCTTTTGAAAAGGGCCTCTACAGAAAGTCAGCTGTTAAAGCTGCAGGATAGGCAGCTATTTATCATAAAGCTGATAATTTATTTTATTTGCTCATTTAATGGTTAAAATAAAATAATCTTCTTCCAATATAGGACAGTTTGCTTAAGTATTTACTTTACATACACTTTGAAGAAAGAACGAGCAAACATGAGAAAATGATGTATTCTGTTAGACTTGTTCAGTAACCTATTTGGTACGGTAAACCTTGGCTATACCTAACAAGAAAACAGAATACAGCTAGGATAGATGGTTATAGAGTTGGCATGTCTGCAGAGTAAGTTTCTTTTAGTAATGTCAAGTGAACATTGGTTTCGCTCCAGGCAGAGAGTTTCTATTGTATATTTAAAAAATCATTGTACAAGTTCTGATAAATTCACAGCTTATATTACTAATTTCACCTGACATCCAGACATGAGGAACAATCAAGTAAAACACATATTGACTCTGAGAAATGACAAATTAGAAAGTTCTTGTTTGTGGAATGGAAGAATTCCACCACCAAGGTCTTACCTGACTAATTAGCAGTCTGAGGAATGGTTCAGTTGTGCACACCGCCTTTCAAGGTGCAAGTGTCAATCTAATTAGCTAGCCAGAATCAATCAGACTGCTTCAATGCATCTGGTATTACAATTCTGAATAAGCATGGCAGTGTTTTAAAAGTATTCATTGTTTAAACATGCTGAATTTGGGGTTACTCTGCCTTCAGGGATTCACTGAACTTGAGAGCAGACGCGAATGTTTGTTATTAACTGTGAATTAATGGAACTTACATATAACAGTACATTGCTGTCAGAGTGCAACAGATGTCTTAGCAGAACCACTGAAAGTTGCATTCCAATAGCTATTTCTTCAGGGGAAAAAGACACCAGGTTCAAAAATTATATGCTTAATTTACATGTTTATCTTTAGGTGCTGTTGCCTCTGACCAAGAACAAAAATTGTTGTTGGAATAATATGCGAACAGGTAACTTCCTCCAAGTCTTTACTTGGATACATACATCTATATCGTTAGAATTCACTGGAACTGCATTGACTTTGGTAGCTGACACTGGGGCTGTCACAACTGCTCTGCAGAAATGCCATCCCTCACTAGAGTTTATCAGCCAGTGGTACAAGTCCTGTAAGATGTTTGCTTTGATCAATCCTAATATTTCAATTAGTGATTGGTTGGCGTGCAGTGTAAAGCTGCTTACAAGTGAGCATTCATCAGCCCCCTTTTACCTTCTGCCAACATTTCCCACTCCTATCTCTCCCTTTTTTGTGTTAGCAGTGTAGTACTTTAGCCTCTGGACTAGGCAAGACAGCTGAGTTGACATGTGGATTGTCAAGGCTGGCTGGCTCTTCGGGGTTAAGATGGTATTGTGACTGCATTTGCATTTTTTTAAAGCTAGGACAGTCAGGTTACAAAAGTTTAAACACAAACAGACGAGACAGTTTAGGGACACAGCACTGTACCAGCTACTAGGAAGAAAATTAACTCTGTCCCAGCTGAAACCAGGACACCTGCATGTCCTCAAAAAGAATAATTAAGAAAAAGTGTATTTAGAGGCTGCTGTTACCTCAGTCAGTTTTAAGTATTCAGTCTAGCATTAGAAAGAAACACATTTTATTCCTCTTCACTTCTTCCACCAAAATCCAGCTTTTTTAAGACATAACTATTATGTCCTACTTCTCTTAAATCTCTCACATAGAAGGTGGTATCAAAATACATACTTATGTGTTATGTACAACATACATTGATAGAGTTCTATTAATTTTAAAGCTAAATCTTTTGTATTTTTTTAATTGCCCATCATCTCTTGACTTGTTAAACTTTTCTGTCTTCATTATGGAGTCTGACTGTAGTATACATTTGACTTTCAAAGCATATAATTTACATTTTTAAATTAATATAATGTATTGACTTACCTCATGAAAAATCATAACACATTCACCAATGCTAATGTAATTGGAATTTGGCTTGTATTGAATTCCTTCTGATTTTCCAGTATACTCTTTTACATCATTGATTTAAAGGGATAAACTGGTGTTTTCACACTTTCCTGTCTACAAATACAGAATTGTAACTTCGAAGTTTGCAGCAAGCTACTGCATTTCAGTATCATAGGTGTGGAGAACAATAATATCTGGTTTTGTATTGTAGCAAATTACAATTTATTAGTAACATTTTTTCCTGGTGTTAAAGCTTCCTGCATTTCTTTGATTGTCTTTCATAATTCTAACATCTATGTTATACTGTGTTACTCAGGTGGTTTTACTGATCAGTAGCAAAGTATTAAAACACAAAATAGAATTAATGAAAAGCACAACTGCATGGAGAAAAGGGCTACCTGATCGAGGTGGACATAGAGGTTTCTTCAAGTTTCTCATTACTGCTAAAATTAAGGTTACCATTTTCCCCTTAGTATTGGAAGAAAAGTCTATCTCTGGAAAGAAATAGCCTATAGAAAAACTCTCTGTAATTGCAATCAAAAAGGTTTCAAAGGCTTCCTAGGCACGTTTTGGTCTCTCTCTCCACCTCTCTCACTTTTCTCTAACAGACCTAAGAGAAAGTGCCCCAGGTATTTTGCCAGAAGAGAAATGTCTGGTTGGGCTGCAGAGCTGGTCCTCGATACAAAGATCACACCTTGGCAGTGTTCCTTCTCCCAAATGTTCCAAGGCAAGAATGGCTCGAGGCATTTAGCATTCTTCAGTACTCTGCCCCTGTGCCAGTGTGAGACAGCTCTGTTTCTGCATCAAGATGAAGAAGTAGAACCAGCGAGGCAGGACTTTAAGGAGGCTAACAAATTCTCATTAATTCTCATGAGAATTTCTTTGAAACCTTTCCATGAGCTGCTCAAAAGGATTTTTCTGCAGGGCCTACCTTCTATCATCTTACTTTTCCTTCTGCTAGAATTTCAACAGTTAACTCCCTCAGACACTTAGCAGAGTTGAGAGCAGGTCAAAGTTGAGAGTTTTGTTTTTCTCACTTGATTCTTAAAATTGTATAGATATTCTTTACACTGTTGATGTGTTCAGTGCCCTCTCTTCATTTCAGGAAGGATGTAGCATTCAACTGAACTACTCTCTCACAGGAGAGTCTATGTTTGAATAGACTAAAATCAACTAAGGTGTAGTTCTTGTTTAAAAACCTCTTTGTTTTCTCCCATTCCCATTTTATTCCTATTGCAATTGTACAATTACCCATACAAAATAATTTTAAAAGTCTTTTAATTGTGAACTTGCAGTAAATGAATTGCCAGCAGACAAGCACAGAAAGCTTCGAGTTAAAATAAATTTCCATTTAACTTCTAACAAGGTAGGACAGAACACACATTTCTGTGCAACAAGGTTAAACATGAACAATCTTTCCAGCCTTTCTTCTCCCCTCCTCCAGCTTCCTAATTTATCTGCACACAGGCAAGAAGGTCCAGTTACCATTTGGAAGCTGGCACTTCGGTAACAGGAGCATGAAACTGAATTCCTCTTGGGCCCTGGGGTATAACTATCTTCATCTTAAAATAATGTAAGGACTTTACTCACACTTCTGCATCAATATGCTGTCATAGAAAGGGAAGATTGTAGGAAAAGAAGGGAGAGTAGAATTGGTAGAGCTGGCCTAGAGGATGGCAGGATGCACAGTAGTTTTGTTGCCCAGAGGTAGAAGTAGCTGAGCATTAGAAAAGCCTGGCTTATTTTAGATAAGAAGTTGTAGAAGGTCTCTCTAGGGTAGAATGTCTTACAGCCACACTTCTTACTTTTTTTTTTTTTCTGCAGGAATAAAGGGGAACCATAACTCTTTTTCTTGAAAGACAAATAAGAAAACTAAAATCTTAATTCCTCTTAACTCTATGTTATGTATAGAACATGTCTTCTATACATAAATAGTGACACAGCAGAATTCTAGTTTTCAGAACTTCTGAGAGAAATAACAGCAAGAACACCCAAAGTGTGAGGCAACACATGACCATCACCCCTGTGATGTCAGAACACTGGTCTGTTTTTGTTTTGTTTGAGATACTGTGGTTTCGTAAGATGGAAGAAATATATAAAAATATTAGATGCATATATATGAAATGAGTTACTGATGCATTAAATGTGTCATAAATATATTCAGTCCAACTTCCAAATTTAGACTGCTTTCAGGAAGAGTGAAGTGGTGCAGTTAGCTGTGCTTTTTAAGCACAAAATGGACAAGTGCTGCTACAAGCACCAACGTTACTGTCCTGTTTTTGGGGTGTTATCAGAATGCCTAGTCACGTTTAACACATTAAGAATTCATCTAAGAAGCCTACTGAGTTAGGAAGAAGCCTTTTTGAGGTCTGTGGAAATGATGTTGTAGGCAGCAGTCCCGTACATAAGCGAGTGCTTGCAGGCCGTGGCGTGGTTTGGCAGTGACAGGCAGGGTGGGGAAGGCAGGGGTGTCCCAGTGTGCCCCATTTCAGCTTCAGTGCAGCCCAGAGCAGTCTCAGAATGCCCTGGCCCTTACCTGGGACTCAGTGCATCTGACTATTGCAGGAGCTAGTTAAGCTGAAGGTGGTTTGTGCCACTGGAACAGGACAAAGCAGACTTCATGTAGGTCATCACTATGGTCAGTGGTCATGAAAGGCAAAGGAAGGAATGCAGAATTTCTCACTGCAAGAGCAACTTTGATTTATTCATCCAGTTTATCTGTTTCTTGTCTGATATGGTGATAAATTTGTGATCTTTTCTGCATATTGTTACATGAAACTGTTCTGCAAAACAGTGCTCTGTGCTGCTGGCCTGGAAGGCAAGACCTATAGCTTTTTTGCTCATAGGCTGGTTTCATTTGTGTGGTAGTTTATTTTTGTGTTTTTTGGTTTGAAGTCTGTTTTTCTCAGTGTTTCTTTTGGTCTTGTTTTTAAGATCATGAAGAACTCTGTGGCACCAGTTATGGATCTTTTTGTCTAAATGGAGGGATTTGTTATATGATTCCTGCTGTATCCAGTCCATTCTGCAGGTCAGTGAAACTGAAGTTTGTGTGTCTAAGTATTGGACAGTAGCTGTCTAAAGACTATTTCTCCATTTTCCTTCTTTAAGGAATAACTTCTAAAGCATTATCTAAAAGAAAATACCAATTACCTATTAGTTACCTAGTTTACAGAGACATGGCACTATGAGAAAAATAAATGTGTATACTTGCTTGGCAGATGGAACAGATATGAGAAAAATAAATGTGTATACTTGGTGTATACTTGCTTGGCAGATGGAACAGTATTCAGTTATGTATACATTCAGGATTATATCTATATTTAGAGCCATATTTCCTTGTTACAATACAGAAAGAACAAAATACCCTTTGCCTCATGGAATATAGACTGTGGGAAAGGCATTCAGAAAGGCAAAGTGCAGTTTTGCTTACAAAGCAATTATGTTGCAAAAACTTTTGTAATATAAAATGGCCTGACCTGAACAAAATGCAGAGACACAAAAAATAATATAATCTTTTAAGAGGGAAACAAGAATGTAATTCAAGACTTACTGTCTTCTTCAAATCATGCTGAAATACTCAAAGAGCAGCTTCACAGTGACAGCCAAAGACTACTTGGTAAAGAAACATCAGGGCAGCAAACACTTCTTACACCACTCCACAACAGAACCATTCTTCCTTCTGAAGCCCATGTAGCAAACTGCAAAAGAAGCACTTCCTGGGTTTGCATGTGGATGCATTTCCTGCATAAATACTGCCCTATCTTTTTATTCTCTGGTTTAACAAGACATAAGATGCTAAATAAAACTGTCACTTTTCACAGTCCTGCGTTTACTAATTCTGAGTTATCATTCATGAGAGTAAATTATGGTTGATTTAATGGGTTTGCTTCACAAAAAAATAGGCATTCAGACAAATATTAGATACACTTAAGCATATTATCTTTTTTCTTCTGTGACAACTTCTGTTCCCTCCTCTGTCTTGAGCTATAACTAATGATAACTGGATAAAACAGTTGAGGAAGGAAACAACATCTTTTCTCAGATGCCTAATTAAAATACTACTATCTTTTATTTGGGTTACTATCTTTTATTTGGGAAGTTCAATCTAAATACTTAAACTCAGGCACGTAAACTCATTTAGTAAGACAGGGAGAAAAGAGGCAATTTTGTGGTAAATGCTCATTGAAAAATATACACAGCAGATCACTGTCATTGTTCAGTGTCACAGTGAATCAGATCCAGAAGTGAGATTAAAGCTCTGAAGTGCTGTATGGTGATTTATTCTATGTGCCAAACCTTGCAAGCTTATGCAATATAAAATGAATACTACACAAAGAAAGTAAAACATTTTGAAATACATGGTTTTTTTTTTTTTTAATAGAAGGAATCCTGTATTATTGTACATAAATGAAAAATGAATGGTTAAACTAAAGAACAGCAGTTATACAATTTCAAAGCACCCTCTCAACTACTGCTGGACTGTGTAACAAGAAATATGTATTCAGTGCAATAACTGTAAAGATGAAGTAACAAATACTCAGAAAAATTCATTCTTCAGGAGCACAAACTAGTTAGCATAGATAATTTCCACCTTAACATCTCCAAATGAAGTAATTTTCAATTCAGATGCTATAGGATTTTATAATCTGCTGAAGCAGAAAAGTAACATCTTAAGAGCATTTTTGTTATACTCAGGCAATCTTGTTGCATTTAAATTATCAACTATTTTTTTCTGTATCTAATGGTTGATTATGAAGTTAGATGGGCTTAAATAGCAGCATTCTATTTAAGCACATCCTCATTCTAAGCATGTTCCTTAATCAGTCAGAGAAGGCTAATTATAGATGAGAAAGGTTTTGTTTACACACAGATATCTTAGTAATCAGCAGTGATGTGAATAGAAACAACAGAAAAAATGCATCACTATTCAGCAGAATTCAGAAAATATTTGGTGCTTTGGAACTTCATGAGTGGCATCATCACACAGTTGTGCAGTTTCTTTGATGAAGGTTTCTGCCAAATCCCACCCAAAGCTCCTCCATGCTCTCAAATGATCATGTCCTACTGAAAGAAAACTCAAAGCATTTTTAGAGTCAAGGGCTGAATGATTGTTAATTATAAGGAGGAGATGGAGAAAGAGCAGACTAACAAACTGTAAAAATCCCTTAAAACACACTTGCCTTGACATGGTACTTGGTCACACAAAAGTGTTGTGCTCAGCAGAGTTAGTCCAGATTACCCTCTACAGCATCACTGGAAGTAATTTCACCATGTGACTGAGAAAGATGCATCATTCTTTAGAAATATGTGTTTTGTAGTATGCTAAAAATTAGGAGCTACTGTTTAACTTTGGAATTTCAGGGTTTTTTTATTAATCAGAAATAGCTATATACAAGGCAGAAGTTTAGTATCTGCTGAACATTAATTGACCCCCCTCCTTGTGCAACAGTAGCAGATTTTAAACACAGCTGATGTGTTAAAACATGAGGATGCCCAGCTGCCATCTTGCCTGACTGCTCTCCCAACCAGGAGTTTGTGTTCTCAGCAGTAAAAGGCACACCTGCCACCATAAACCAGATGAGCTGCAAACCCAGGAACACCCAAATGAACTCAATAAACGGGCAGCAGGGCAGAGGAGGATGGAAAAGCAGCTGCCTCAGGTGCATCATAAAACACAAGGTGGAAAGCTGTTTGCCTCAGCACCTGAAGCACAGCTGTCCCACAAACACTAATTAATGCACTGCAGAACTAAGTGAAGATTTTGGTTTCTGACGGGAAGCTCTGGTACTCTCATTTTTTTCTCACACTTGGCAGATTTCTGAATTCTTTCTGTATGTCAAGTAAAATACAGATGGTATGAGACAGCACACACAGAGCTCAGCTTCAGAGGGCAGTACACACAGAAATTAACAGTGAATGCTCTCATTTTGGGACAGGGACCCTACTCTGCCAAGGGCTAAGTACTGCAGGAGACACAGGCAAATCTCTTCCCTGAAATACCTGTGTATCTTCAAGGATATCTCTTCCTTTTTCCCTTCCTTTGCTTCCATCCTAATGGAATCTCTCCTCCACCTTTCCTATGGTAATCCAGTGAATCCCATGCAAATTCCTTCTCGAACTTTCTGTGTCCTCCCTCCTTGCCTGGCTCTCTGCCATGGGCCCTTCATTCCCCGTTTCAGACATCCCCACAAGTCATACACTTGCTGTGCTTTCAGCCTTCACAATATGCACCCTACAAGTTGCCAGGGAAGGCTTCCCAGTCATCTGGGCTTTTCTTCCTTCTCTGCCTCCAGAAATGCACTTTAATGTACCTCAGGCTCTTTTGAAAACAAACTGTCCCATTAGTATTTTTCAGTTCTGCTTTTGGCTTTTTTGAAAGGTATTAACCAAAGTTAGAATACACACCAAAAGTACAGCTAAAAAGAGTCAGTAATTAGGATTTCTTTTTAATGGGACATAAAATATAAAGTGCAACACTCTCTTATGTGTTTGAAAACTATTAGCAATCCAAATTAATATCACTGCCAGACAGGGAAACCTTCCCATATAAACACATAGCTAAGGGAGGGGAGAATAAGTCATTCTTTTAGAGAAAAATAACCCATTCTTTCAACTTCTCTCCAGTAGGAGCATTTTATTTTATTTTATTTTCTGTGTATAGAGAGTAACAGTGTTGAAACTTCTCTAAATGCAAAACTTTTTAAAAGGTTGCTTGGTTAAATAATTATCTTTGCCATTGTTTATTCACTTTGGCTCTAACTTCTTTTTCATACTTACTAGATGTTCTTAGACTGTATGTATTAGGACAACTTTTAGGACAGACTGAAGATTATGTTGATTTTGAAGTTTATCAGCCATGTAATCTGAGCTGCATTGACAAGCAGATAATTTCTCGTCTTTTTCTGCTCAGAGCTTTGTATTTACATGGAAATAGTTTTTATACCAAGAAGTATTCAAAATTTTCCTGACTGAAGGAAGTCTAAATGAAAAGTAAACACCCTGATAGTATAATGCAAAGCAGTGACAATCTGTGTGCATATTTGACTCAAATTCTACTTCCTACTTTTACAGTCTGTCAGATACTTCCTTATGATGCCTGCCTTAGAGTCTGGCAAAGAAAGAAACTTCACCTTCTTACTAAATCCCAGTGCCACAGGATCATTTGCTCTGTCCAACAAACAGCATCTGAAATGAGCAGTAATGCCTGTGTTGCTGCAAGGCTGTTATGTTTTATTTACTGATCAGATTGTAAAGGATCAGTGTAATTGCAGACCTGCTGGTCATCTCCTGACATCTTATCCAATGCAGTGTATTTTCTTCCACCTTGCATTGATGCTGATGTGACTAATACCATGTGTGGCAAGATTTCTTCCATATGCTGGTGTTTTGTCTGGAGCTCCTCTAGGACATTTGTATACAACAGTTCAGGCTGGCTCATCTCATCTGACAGGAGGGGTGTGTGTGTGCACGTGTGTGCAGCCATCCCGGAGAGCGGAAATCTGGATGCCAGCTGAAAGTGGGAAGTTTTAGTCACAGATTTCCCTCAAACACTGAAGTCTGCTGTCTTTCAACTCTGAATTAGAATTTCAATTTTCTTAGAGGGGGAAAGACCTTTTTTCCATGTTAAAAATCAGCTCTGGAATGCTGCACAGCAGGGCCGTTCGAAGGCAGCACTCGCATGTGCAGCAACAGCAACGCCTGGCCAGGGAACACAAAGCCAGGGAGTGCAGCTCCTCCTCACTGCAGCCTGCAGCAGCTCCTCTGCGTTTGCCACAGCTCGCTCAAGTGCAGGTGCACCCGTGCCTGCCACGTCAACAGCTGCTCTTAACTTGGGTGCTACTTTTAGGCATCCCTTACAAGCAAGATAAAGGGAGTTGCCACTGGCTCTTAAGGCTGTGTACAGCAACACTGAGTGCCTCTGGGCGATGCTGAACAGACACCATCCTCTGGGTTATGTTCACAGCCCACGGGCTTCTTAGAGACTGCCTTTCTGTCTTGCTTGTCACTGCACGTGTAACTCCACCGAAATTACTGAGCTTTGCTAGTGCAACAGGATAAGCAGGTCTTCTGAGAGAATTCCACTGCTAATTACTGAAGTCTGCTTAGCTTCTTTCGCACCTATTTTAGCAAAGGACTTGCAGAAATAATTTTTCCTGGTTGTCTTAAAGCATCAGTTGCTTCTATCTTTAACATAGGCCTTTACCTATTTGTACATCAGGAAAGGTGACTTCATAAAAGCTTGTTCAAACCAATATTTGAACATCTGAATTTCCAGAAATGCCGTAACTGTAGTACAGCTTGGTCACATTAGCTATAATTTTATTATTTAAATGTAACTCAAAGATACCTCGTCTTAATTTTCCTGTTTGTGTGAAAACCTACATAATTTTTAGGTTATATGACAGCATTTTCTAGATAGCATGGAATCACTTTCAGCAAGTGTGTCAACTGGCCAGCCTAGAGAAAGTGGATTGGTAGTTTTGTAATCCCTAATGCATTGCTCACAGCTAAACAGATACTATCAAACTAGCTGGCCATATTTCTACAATTTGTTTTTGTTACAACCGTGCAGAATTAATAGGTTCAGCATCCAGGATGTCTTAAGTTTGGCATGTGCTTCTTTAGTAGAGGTTTTTTTCTTTTTGCTATAACCTTGGATTCATATCACTATAGTTTTCCCCTTACTATCTTAGGCCTTCAAGCTCTTTTCTCTCTTAAAGACTTGTGGCTACCTTAAGCAGCTGGTTCTGTTTTCTGTTTTGTAGGAAGTGCTACGATCTCAGTGACCCTTTTGCTGTGCTGTGAACAGATTCCCAGTTCTTTTCCTACAGCCTTTGCAGAACATGAATACAGCTTCCATGCACTGTTCACACCAACCCACTCTCCTGTACCACAACAGTTCAGTAACCCTCACCCCTCACCTGATCCTCTGTGCAGCTCTCTGCAGCCATGACTGTCTTGTCTTCCTCCTGCTATATTCTGCTCTTTAGGCTACTGACTTACTCCCTTTACACTCATTCTTTAGAACTTTTCCATGAGCCTTAATTTGATGCCAAAACCTATTTTTTTTTCTTCCTGTATCATTTTAGCCTTGCATTATTCTCCAGTTTTCATTGCTATTCAAGAATACTCCTATGAATTTCTTATTCCATTTTCTTTCCCTGTTACTCTATTCAGCTCTCCAGAGCATTTCTCTCTCACTTGCTAGAGAACAATGCCCCACTCAAACTATACTTCTATTCTTAAAGTATTCTACAGTATTTCAGAAATAGGCCACTGAAAAGCCACTACACTTAGAATAAATATCTGGAACATTATCTCAAGCAATCAGAGCAGTCTGCCTACCCTTGCTTCTCCCAGCAGTGAAACATCATGACTTTGAAAAGCCTCAGATTGTCCTTAGTAAATGCTGTCTGTTTGATCACTTGCACAGCTTTAATATATGATGATAATTAGATGTCTTTTTTTAGTGTCTAAATCTTCTATTATATTTCCAAAGACAAAGAATTAAAATAAAAGGGTAGTAACTGTTTGTGCAGTGGTTTAGGCAGCAGTGCTGAAGTACTGGTCAATAACATACAGAAAGTGTAGTGGGAGTCACATCAGGCATCCTGTCAGAAAACTCACAGGGGTCCTTTGGTCTTAGTTAGATATGCTAAACAATCTTCTTTTTTGGCAGTTCCTCCCCTCTCCACCTTCTTACCCCTCATCTGAAATTATACCTTGCAGCTGCCAATGGCAATTGAGAACTTCAAGTATGTTGCAGAGTTTAGCCCATTTTTCTCAGCTGGAGCCTGAAATCGCTTATGTCACAGATTATTATGACTTCAGTGCCAGAAATAGCAAGAAGGAGCAAGATCTTTAGTAATACAAATAGAGAGAAGCAAATTTACATATATAAAAAATACACACAGAATCTAGATATTGAAAGAAGTGCTTCCCATTTTCTGTAATGAAATCAATTCCTTAAGAAAACTTAGCAGAATAAGTGCAAAATATATAACAAATGAAGATTAGTTTAGCTTCAACCTACCTATTTTTGGCTGATCATTAATTACTAAGCCATTAATTTTATTTTTAATAAAATATCATACCATTTTAGCATGGTAAAATACCATATTGGTTTTAATCCTTTCTTCAGAAGAAGTTTTCAGAAGCTCAACACATAAGATAAACACAGTAGAGAAGAATTCTACATAGGTCTCTCCACAAGGGGGTTATTCACCAAGCATGTAGCATGTTCTGGCATGAATTATTACAGTGCATAAACCACTTTTGCAGTTTAAGCTGTACTGTGTCTCAATGAATTCTCATTTACTTGATCTCTTTTGCTGACACTACCATCTTCAACAAAGGAGGCCAGAAAGTTTCCTGAAACAGGGAAAAAAAGCATGACTACTGTGTGAGAACCAGTGGGATGACACAGTTAACACTGAAGAAGTAGGCTTGATTAATTAAATCTGTCAGTGATGAGTATATTAAACTTAATATATAAAAGCAGCATGGATCAGAATGTAAACTTGATGCCCAACATGCCTAATTCCCTTTGTTCCAGAAATACAAGGTGAGAGGAAGTTCTGTAAGAAAACTTGCTGTGAAGCAAATGTAACCTTTGAATTGAGTCATAACAAGTTCCCTACCCAGAAGAAGCCTTTTGTGCTTTCCATCGTAGATGACAAGCTGCCATCTAATCCAAATCCAACTTGGTTTCCCAGGTGTATTGAGAATTACACAGGAGCTCGTTGTGAGGAAGTTTTGCTGCCCAGCATCAAATCCCAAACAAAAGGTGACCTGTTTGCAGCTTTCTTGGCTTCCCTTCTTCTTCTAGGAGTTCTTGTAATTGGAGCATTCTACTTCCTTTGCAGGTAAAAGTGATTCATAAGGCTGAAGCTATTCAATCAAGTAGAAATTTCTTCTGGTAATCATGTACTAATTATTTGAATGTAAAAGTATGTAATGAATTATCCATGAGGTTGTATGGTTATTCAGCATAATGAATGGGGATGTCTCAACTTGTTGCTTGTAATATTGACTTCCTGGCTTGAAGTTTTCTGTGTCATTTCTAAGCTCTTACTTACAGCTGCTTTGTAAAAAATACCCATAGTACACCCCTATCTGAGATTTTACAGTCCATCCAGAGTTAGTGCTAACATTTTAAAACATTAGTCTACCTGATGTTGTCCAAAGTCTGAGAAGTAGAGGTAAATTAACAAAGTGCTTAGGGATCAGAAGCTGTTCCAGCTGAACTGGTAACTGAAGCAGCTGGTGACATTAGCTCCTAATTCTTCTACCAATCCCAGTCTAAAATGGAAAACTAAGGAAAGAATGAAATTGAAGAATTCTTCCAGATAGATGTTTACTAGCATTTAGGACAACTCAGAGAGCTCACTATTTTGTCCAGGATGATCTGGGTTTGAGTAGAAGGCAAATGTCAGTGCCAGACAGCAAGTCCTGCAGGGTTGGTTTTAGTAGCATTTTAGACATATTAGGACTTGGAATAAAAACACATAAAGATTTACTGGGATTGAGGCAACTGTTTGATGCTGTACATATATCACTACATTTATATCAAACCAAACAAACTTGTCATCTTCACTTGCAATGCTCTCTTTATTTTGCACCTGTGCAATGCACCTGTGTCCCTTCTTTATTTTTAGAGTACAGCACTTTTTGTAAGAACTCATTTTGCCATAAACCAATAATATGTGTTGATGCATCTATGTCTCTATAAAGCAACTTATAGCCCCTGTAATTCTTTACCAACACAGACTTGCAGAATCTTCTCTTTCCTCCTGTACTGCATTTCTCCTTGGTTATGATAACTAAAGGTTGTTGCAATTCTGTTCTTTGTGCTCCCTTGGTCACATTGCCAAATCAACTTTTCTGATCTGTGCCTTTCAATGAGCGACCTTTGGAATAGCTGGTCTAGTTTTACCTCAGCTGCTGTCATGGAAACCCACTGAATGCCAGCTTCTCCCACAGCTGAATGTATTTAGAAGAGATGGAGAGCATTTGATAAAACAGTTGATATAAAAAAAATCTCTTGTTGTAAAGGATACCACCCCATATTAGCAATTTTAATTAAATTAATTTTGCTTAGGCATGGAATGCCACAGTGGTTGCTAAAAAACATTTGCAAATTACTATAAACTTATTAGAATGAAATACAACTTAAACTAACTTAAGAAAAATTCACTGAAGTCTCACAGAGATACAGACAGTATTTCTTTAGAAGTAAAACTGTCTCTGAGAAAAGGGAAAAAAAAGTCTTCAAAGAGTAATGTGTTAAAAGATCCCTTTTCTTTCACATACAGTGAAATTAGGGGAAAGCTGGAGACAATCTATTGAGTTTCGTGGTCTAAGTACAGAAGCTTAGAGTGACAGCAATGACAGGTCTGTGAAAAATATTTTATTAGACAGTTAGAACATCAACTTCTCTTTACTCATTCTTTACCTAACTGGCAGAACAAGTAGTAGTGCCTCATTATTAGCAAAATAAAAAGGGCAACAACTCAGTTACAACATAGTTGTCCTTGAACCCTATCTTACACACCAGACTAATTTGGGAAATCTCATAAAACCTTTATGAACTTCTTTAGTACAGATGAAAGAACCTAACTGGCTAAAATTGTCTTACCTTTACACTTCAGAGGCTGATGTAGGATGGTCATCTGCAAGAGAACTCATCTATAAATGAAACACTTTACATCTCTAAGTCCTTATCTCTTGGCTGAAGTGACCAACACATGAAGAGTCTCAAGTGGATACTTTAATCCACTCTCATATTTTCATCTGAGTGAATGAGCATGATTGCTAAGAGCTGTCATTAATCCCAACTTTTTTCTCAAACTTCATCTATCACCTGTGTCTATGTCTTAGAAGAGGATGGGGCTTGTAAGGGTTAGCTGAGAGTTTGCACCATCTTTGACTTGGCCTCCTGACAGGATATGTTAAGTTTAAAATGTTAAGAGACATGCTGTGCTAAAGTTTCCACTACTCCACTTTGTTAACAAAGACGTTTGATCCACAACCAGAGAGCAGAAAGCCTTTTTCCTGATACTGTGTTAGTGAGCATTTCCATGGCTTGCTCAGCAGAGGGTTCTGGTGGGGTTTTACTATAAACAGTAATGGAATCTGGAGAGGTGCAAAAGAGGAGAAACTAATTGAAGTTCAGGACCAGGAAACCGAATTCCTAAAATTATACATCAAATCATTTGGAATATAGAACTCAGTGCTTTATTTTCTTGGCCATATCATTGTGCCTCCCTCCTTTCCAGTTTTCTTTCTCTCAGGCTATTTGGGGCAGATTTGAGGACCAAGCATGTGCAAGTGCATTTCCTGCTCCCTACAAACAAATCCATTCTACATACAAGGGTGGAGGTTTCATTGCTCTGCTTATAAAACCAAATCACAACTTACAGTGAAAGTAATCCATAAAAGTGTAGGGCTGCACATGAAAGCTCTGGGTGAACAGTGGGAAATAATTCTCCTTTTACATTTAACTGAGTCATCACATTTTTATCAGCTGATGATTTATTTTTTCCAGTCTGCAGAGCACATGGAGGCAGGGCAAACACAGATCTAGCCACTCTCCATCTTGAAACAACCCCCCACCCTCTGATAAAGCCTGTCCTTCTGACATGGGCAAAACAGAGAAGTGTACAAAAATCCGTGCTCTTACACTGCCACTGAGGAACAAATGGCATATTCTGCTTCCAGCAATTCCCCTATCAGACCAGGTCCATCTGGTCTTCTTCCTCCAGAAACATATTTTGCCAGGGTTACTCGAAGAAGAATAAGAAAGGTGATGAGAAGAGATGCCACATGAGCCAGCTTTTCTTTAAAAGCAATAGATAAGCCTAAATGCCACACATATAGCTCAGAGAAACAGAGCAAACTCTAGGGAAAACCAAAATAAATCTGCAATAATTTCTATATTTCACTGTAAGTGCATGCTGAAATGCCAAATGACCTCTAAAGTAAGTGTAATATTGATGAACAAGACCTCAGCCAGCCAAAACAACAGGGTCTAGGAATAAAGCCATTTAAGCTGTCCAAGACAACAGACTTTGTGGAGGAGTTACATCACCACAGGACACAAACTGGACAGAACAGAGAATAGCTCATGACTCTTCTCAAGAGAGCAGATGTCTGATTACTATTAAAAGAAAAGGAACTAGACAGCAAATGATCAGCTCCATTTACAAGACTTGCTTCTCTTCAACAAAGTGTGGAAAATTTCACATCATTTCCAAACACTAAGAGAATTGATCAATAATTCTGTGCTATTTACTCATTTTTTAAATAAAGACCTAAGAAATCAGACAAACAGGAACATTACCTTCAGGAGAGAAGCCAGGTAGTTCCAAATGCTGTGCTGCCCTCTGATCTCTGTTCTTCTCCCTCAAACACATGCTTCTCAAAAGCAATGAGGATTAATTAGAAAGTAATTGGAGAAGATCTATGTCATTTTTTCCAATGGAAAAATCATTCCATTAATTTGTCTCTTCCCTGGTAACATTTTTCACTCTGTGTGCATTTTTCTCTCTCTCTCTGTTGTCTCCTTTTTGGTTTTTATGGTCAGGAAAGTTGCCATCCCAAGGACAAGTTCTTCAGAGTGTGGTGCCAACCTAGTTGAAGCTACAAGCAGCAATGGCTGCAACAGTGAGTACAGTTTAAAATTAAATGACTGGACTCCACAAGAGAAGTGGAGGAGGAAGTTTTTGTTATTTGAAGTCACATGTTTTATTTTTCAGAAATAACTACAGCCTAAAGCATTAGAGTGGAAGAATGGTGGAGAAACAACATGCAGAGCAACCCTAAGAATCTAAATTGTAGAGGGTGACATGGTAAGCAAGATGAGACAAGAAAGTTGATTGAAACAGGAGGCTGACATGTTGGGGAAGACTACATCTAAGACTTCAACAGTTGCACTTAATGGAGTTTTTATGTATTTTTAAAACTGTCAATTATACAGAAATCACTATAATTTATGTTTGAATTCTGTGAGATTTTTTACGGTTTTCAATAATGCACAGCTAGATGCATGAGATAATTTTGGGTTTTACTACATGGAAAATAAATAAAATATGTTATTTTTTTCACTGCACAGAGAATATGAGATATCACAGGATTTTAGTGTGAGGTGATACTATGAATTTTTGATAGGGGTTTTCATTTTTCATGAGGAGCTGAAGCCTGTCTTGATTCAATAGTTTCAAAATTGATATTTGTGATACATGTCCAGAATTTGGCTTGTTTCAGATGCCCTTACCAGATGTAGGGGAAAACCCCCTACCTTTCTCCCAGCTAATACTTACTTTTGGTTGTTTTTTTTTTTTTTTAATTGGAACAAACATCAGCATGAGATACCATTGGTAGTTTATTGCCCAGGTTCCTGACACACTATTTTAATTAAAATTAAAGGGAAATATTAAGAAAATAGATTGATAACGGTTTAAAAAGTTTTTTAGGCAGAGTTTGGTGTACATTCCTAATAGTAAGCAAGACATCTCCCTTGATGGTTTTTAATTTTGTCTGGCTTTCTTCTGAAAATCTCACTACTGAGGGAAACTCAAACCTTACCTTGAATGTTCCAGTTGATATTTCAGATAGCAGAAATCAGGAATTTTGTTCGTCAGGTCAATTTCTGACACTGAATATTATCAAGACAGGTATCTTGGCTGAAAAAAATGCTGCCCTCTCCAAAGATTTATTTCTTTTATTCACATAAGCATCTGTTGATCACACTAATATATTATACACCACACTTTGGTCCCTTCCAGGATTCTCTTACTCAGACAAAAAGAGGCCGTCTGCCATGGTCCATGTCTTTTTTTTTTTGCCTTCACAACACAAAGAGAATGTCTGGTTAGTCAGAGGCATAGAAAATGTGAACTGAACAGGTTTTTTTCAACTTATTTCTAGCACTGGAGGCAGAAACCAGCAAAAAATCAGATATGTCTCCATAACGGCACATTACCAAGCAGGTGATTATATGGGATTTATAAGGTTGCATTGAAGGGAAGATTAGCTGAGAAAATTCATTAGTTGAAAGGAGAGAAAATTCAGAACAGAGATTTCTTTTGTCCAAAAGAAACAGTCTGAAGATGTATAAAAACATAGGTGCAGAGAAAACGTTGAATAAGCTCCTATTTCTAGGATGTCTACTACATGCTCTGGTGTCAGAAAAAGCAGTGTGTGCTTTGTATCAATGTAGACAAAAGCACAGTGGGAGGGGGCAGAAAAGGCACGTGGGTACAGTGCATAAGGTGAGAAGTCAAAGAGAAATCACATTACAATGGTTACTAGAACACAAACCAGAATGTTTCATTAGCTCCTGAAAACTCCTGGCAGAGAGGTCAGAGTCCAGGTTAGAGCTCAGCATGTGAAAGGAGAATCTGAGGACACCAAATCAGGTAGAGGACCTGATCCAGAGACTAAGTTATATAAAGCACTAGAAGATCACTTTCTCCCCAGATTAGCCAATCATACATGTTATTTTCTGGACTTCAAATCTTTAGCAGATAAGCTGAAGGAAGCTGATAATATTGTTTTAAAGGCTAGGAAAGATAGAAGTTATTTTTGGTCACAAAGGGACAGGCCACTCTTGTACAGAGTTCAAGAGAGGTGTAGCAGTACTGACAGCTACACAGAATCAGCATTAGCTGAAGTTTCTTACTTTGCCCAGCCTCAGTGAAAATGAGTCAGAGATGACACCTGGTAGATCAGTTTGCTGTGTTATTGATCATGAGACAATCAGGCTCACAGCTTGGTGTACTGTCTCCACTGGAGAAGGAAAAGGCTTGTGGTCATTTAAGTGGCAATTCAGGAAGGAGATACTAAGAGAAGGTATAAGAAATAAATGGACTGAAGTTATTCTGTATAAGCTCTTAGAATCCTCTCACCTTTCTAGACAGACATGGAATAATCATTGATACTGAGCTTATTTGCATTATTTGGGAAACAATCTGTATAAAAAGTGGGGCTGAATAAACGGACTCCCTGTTTAAGTGCGAACAAGCTGATTTCTGCATCACTGTTACCTGTGAAGGAAGTGCTGTTAGCCATTCAGACCGCCTCAAACCCATTGCATCTGGGAACATTTCAGCTTCTAAAATGATTTCAGTTCACAAACTTCGTGACTGTGACGTTCAAATCAAAATGACATCAGGCTACAAATTCATTTTAAGGTGGTCAAATGTCACAGAAAGTACAGTGTAGCCAACATTATATATAATTTAATAAAATAGTGCGACGCTCGTTAGCAATGATTGCTTACAAAATTAATGAAGTAGTCCTGTGAGCAATTAAAGAAACTCCAGATCCAATGGATCAGATCTTATGGTTGGAGTCACTGGAGTCTTAAAAATCATTACATGTTTATGAAAGGGTGAGTAATAAGGGCTCTCTCTGGTCTCTCTGACTCCCTTTTTCATGAAACAGAAGATCTCATATCTTTGAAATTACCTCTCCACCAGCTGAAAGGTTATGTAGGGAAGAAACTGGAAAACACCAATTTCCCGAGAAACTCCATTACTGTGATTAGACAACAATCTATTAGAGTGTTATGACAAAAATTCTTTTATGCCTGGGGATCATGTTATCCTGCCAGAAGCTTGTAGTAAAAGTCTCTTCATAATGTACTGCAAAAACCTTTTGATCATTTGCAGAACTGACAGCCATTAGCAGGAAATCTCTTTATAGACCTATAAATAAGAGGTTGCTTATATGTTACTCAATCTAGAATTGTTTTTCATTAGCAGCCCAAACAAACACTGGAGCAAAGTACAGTTAAATTAACAGTTAAAGAGAGTCAAATGGCTTTTCAAAGAAAATAAGGATTTCTCTGCTGCATAGTCTTTTGAGCAGAAAAACCAACAGAAGTCCATTTGTAGCACTCCCCATTTTAAAGATAAGTTCAATGTTGTGCAACTCCTTCAAAATTTACTGCACTAAAAGAAAACATTTTCCTTCTGGCTCTGAATTTTTGAAGAAATTTGAAATTGAAAGCCAAGAAGAAATGTGGGATAGAACTTCTCACAGCAGAAATGGTCATTATTCTAAATTATCTGCTTATGCTTATCCAAGTCTGTTCTGGCTCCCCTGGCAACTGCAGCCTGTTCAACATAATCTGTATGTAAGGCAAGAGATCCATTTCATGCAATGAAATACAAACCCTGTGAAATACCAATAGTCAGGCTGCTGCTCAGTTCCATCTTTGACACTGATCCTCCACTAAACCTTTCAGCAGGAACCATTTCTAGAGCTGCAGAACCTGAAATAACAAGAAGATACTGCTGGTTTTGGTCCCCAAATAGAAGCCACAACCAATTTTTAACACTTTTTAATGCACTTCTATGTCAGTTTCTGTACCATTTAAAAACTTTTTCTAGTGCACATTAAAAGAGACTGTTTCCAAATTTTCCTCTCAATGCAAGTAATACTTCATCTAAACTTCTGTGCAGGCAAACAATGGACTGTAAAAATCTGGGTGAGCTTCCACTGGTGGCATTTTTTAAGAGGACTGGATCACTTGAATCTATGTTGTACATTCTCCATCACAGAGTTTGCTGCCATTCAGATATCTTCACCAGTTCTGAAGATTCCACGGGAGTTGCTCTTTTGAGAGGATTATTGTTTGCCATCACTGTTACCATATTGACAACCAAGATGCATTTAATTCAAAAAAAGGTGTTTCTAACTCTCACAGCTGTGAAAATTTATCATGGAAAGGTGACATGACCTGCCACTGACTCAGTGGTATGAATCTCTGAAACATTTATTTTCAGAATTTTGTGCTACCTGCTCAGGGAAGATATACCTGTGAGATGTAATGATGACAATTTATACATTGTATTTCAAAAGCATTTAGAAGCACAAATCCAAATGATTTGGGAATAAATTTTCTTCATGTAAATTATCAAAGCACTTGGAAAAAAAACCTAATTAGCTATTTCTCTGCTGATAATTCTAATATAAGTATCCAGGTGATATCACTTCCAAATCCAAACCTCTCTCAGGCGTTTCCTTTGAGTTTCCAATTTCTCACTGTAGCTGTATGTTCTCTTTAGACTAACACCCCACACTGTCCTGAAGTGCTGGTAGGCATGGAATAATCAATTAAAAGGCCCTACAATGTTTAAACTTCTATTTGTTTGAACTAAAGCAGTAGAACAGGAGCAATGCACAGCAGCAGAAGTAAGCTTGGTTTACCTCGCTGCACACCTTGGAGCCTGCAGCTCAGAACCCCCTCGAGTTCTGAGTCCTGCTGAAACAGCTGAAACAGCCTCTCCTGAAGCTGGCTGAGAAATGGGCTTAGCAACAGGAAAAACTGCAATGATAATGAGACTCAAACAACTGTGTTACCTGCATTTGTCTGCACAACATACAACTGCTGTATTAAGATTAAATGGATTTTAGAGATACACCACAGATTCATAAAGTAAAAAAAATCTTCATCACCACGAAATCATGAAAAATAATCAGAAAGTGGAGGAAATAATTACTTTCTTAATGTTTGCAGAGTGCTCAGAGACTATAAGAGATCCTATAAAAGACCACTTAACTGTACACTTAAGATCTTTGTAAATTCTAACTATGCAAACTTCTCTACTTCAGATGTTATTTTTCTGTATCATTCTGTTGAGTAAAACAGAGCAGATATCTGAATGACAAATGCTTTTTGCTTGTTCTCTCACAGGGCCAAACGCCACAAAACTTAATTCCAATTTCTGATATGAAAGCTAAGAACCCCCACCAGTTACTTCTAGTAGAAAGAAGTTGTCAATTTTTAGAAAGAAAAATAGAAACTAAGAGGGGGTAATGACAATTAGTAAGTTTTGAGGTAAATTTTTAACTAAAAATTAATTCAGAATCATATGTAACTATTTGTTCTTAAAAGTTTTGCTCCTTTTTATCAATTTATTCTCACTTTATTACGACTGCATGTTACACAAACATCCTATAATGACGAGATCTCTGGATAGTAACTTTAAAATAAAAGTGATAGCAGTAATAGCTTTATGTTTGGTAGTTGCTACTTTAGTTGTGTGAGTACAAGGTTATACATCACACTGCTTGCCTATTATTTTTTGTGGTTTTGAAACCTACAGATCAATTAATTGAATGATGCATGAAGAACAAATGTGCAGCGAAGCATTCATATTCAAAACATTGGAAAAAACAATGTCTTTACCTTTTGTAAGCAACACCATCACTCCTCCCTGCAGGTCTCGTGACTTTGCAAGTTTTACTTTTTTTGTAACAAAACCAAAATCCAGTTGTGGTCACTTAGGGACTCTCTTCTCTTGCTGGAAACACGTTACTGTCAGCACTGTAACTGCAGATAAACCTTTAGATATCTTTTGAGTAATCCTGCTATTTACATTTCCCTTAATTGCTGAATGCTCATTTAAGTAACTTTAACCACTTCAAACCTCATGCTTGCTTCTTTTGAGTAGCAGAAGTATAAATTTTGGCACTGCAAGACTTTCTATCAATTATCTCTGCCTTTTGGTACACACACCTTGTAAGTAAATATATTTGGGGTTCTCTCAGGAGTTGTTGTGGTTGAAGAGCAAATAACAGCATGGAGGCAAAATGAATTTGGATAGCAAAACACTTTAATGACAGATGTTGCAATTTTATCACTTACACCATTTCCCATGGTGTCACATGGATGTGGCCTGGGACAGACATTCTAGTAGTTCCAGCTATGTGCATGGTTCTAGGGTTTTCATCTCTACACTTCTTGATGCTGGAGAGAAGGACTCCTGGATTCTGATGCAGACCCCCCACCCTCCACCCCCTTTTCTGTACTGTGTTTACCTCTGAAGGTTCCTCAGCTACAGGACCTGCTGACTGTCTGTCCCCTGCAGACCACCCTGGTGGTTCTGGTTTAGCTGTGCCATCATCTGAGCTCACCATCAACTCCTCTGACCTTCTGGCCAAGTCTTTATTGAGGACACATGGTTGATCACTCTTCAACTGCTCCAACACAGCAACCAGTTAACCTTCCCAGGCTGCTCAGCACGGCTGACAGCACCAGGAATCCTACCTGCATTACAGAAATGAAACATTTCCTTTCTGTCCTGTTAAACATGAAGTTTATGCAGATGCAAAGGGCCAAATGTGACATTCTGGTTATGCTAAAATAACACACATCACCTCCCACCAAGGGGCTTCTCTGAAAATTCAACCGTACTCCACTTCCAGATACCTTTCCCTCTAGATGAAATAACTAATTGTTGTCCAAGTCACACTCACACTTACTAATCTTCCATCCACAAATTGCCACTGGGAGTTCACAGCTCATACTATCTTCTAATTAAAAAAACCCCATCATCAATACAGCCATGGGGAAGTGCTGTCTGTGCTCAACTGACAACAGTTAATGCTCACATACACCCCTACCAAAGCTCCCTAGGCCGAGTCCAGGAAAAGTTTTAACTAGACATGGACATAAAGTTGCTAACTGAAGTCTTCTTTGATACATTTAAAGCAAAACTTGTTACTTTGTTACAACATACAGGTAAGTCTTTTCTTACTACACTGAAAATGGGTCAGCTGCCTAATTTAGCATTTAGAAACCTGGTGATATGGTGCAAAATCAATCTTATTTTCTTGTCATTCTATTACTACATGAAAATAAAAGGGAGGAAATAATTTAAAAAACAGCAAATATATATTAACTACACTGAGACTATGCTGAATTTGCTTACTTGATACTGCATGCCAGCTGCAGCCATCAAAACAGGTGACTGATGTAAAAGCATGGGAAAAACATGCAGAAGCACAAGTCTTACTTAAAGTCTCTATATAAATATAATATAGCCAGATCTTGTGTGTCCCACCATTCCAAATTTGAGAACAAAAAACTTCCTATAGAAACTTAAAGATAGATAGACTTATTTCTAAGTACTCTGGATTTAAAAGATTGTAATCACACTACAGGAGAAGAGGCAACTGCTATATTCTGACCTCACAGCTGAGCAACTGAAATTGAGTTCAGGGT